AGACATACAGACACAGACAGACATACAGACACAGACATACATACAGCCATACAGACATACAGACACAGACAGACATATTCTCTCACCTTGTTCCTTCTTCTAGCCCTCACATCTACCACACTCCCTACAGTACTTTCCTTACACTGATACTATTAACCTGTAAGCCTGAGTCCACGTTACGATTTCGAAGATTAGAATTGCAGTGTTAGAGGTAGCGAGTCACTAGTTCTCATGAGGCTTTAGTTGATAGTTTCACACAGCCTCATATAATGCCATTAGCCGTGGCACCCTCCACACACTGTTCCTATTACCTGGGTAAATTGGCATGTTAAACCCTGAAGGAGGTCGTGTGGCTCTTGACCATCACACCTGCTGGGCTAAACTCGCCTCGGTTCTAGTAGGTGTGTTTGATGCTGGAGGTCATACGTGTGTTTTATCCAAGGCAAATAGCAGCATTTTTTTCCCCTCCATATTTACAGTGGGAATTACAGTACTGGTATTTCCTCACAACAAATAACGTTATAAGTTTCATTACCGGACAACATCATCATGACAACAGGTTCCTCCCTCATAGTGAACGGTGTTATCACTCTGGATCACACATTGGTTATCATTTTCACAACCCACCTCGTGATATTATTTCCTTTTTACGAACGGACCAAAGTTTGGTCTCCTCTCTGGTGGTGATCCAATTTGACCTCCGGCGGGGTGAAGGGGGAGTTAGGTGACGGAGGAAAGGCATCGGGGTTGTGTTTCCTCAGCTGCAAATGGAAGATAATGCATTTTTTTATTAGTGTTATGTCAGCGGCGGGCTGTCTGGTGGTGCGCTCACTGACCCAAGAGTCGAGGGGGAGGCAGGGGAGGGTTGCTGGAACATGTCATCGTGTATTGAATTGAGGAACTTGGTATTCCCAACACGCTACAGCAAGTGCCTCGCATGTGAATGTAGTCACAGTTGCCTCTGAGAAAAGCAACCTTGGTTTTCTCTATATCGTAACGCTTATAGTTAATGTGGTTTACTGTACTAGTGTTGTAGAACGTGAGAACACTCGCTAATTCTGTTGAAGGACTGTTTCCCTGAACCTCTTTTGGCTCTCCGGTAGTGTAAAAGAGAGAGAGAGAGAGAGAGAGAGAGAGAGAGTAGCCACCAACACGTCGCCAGAAGACGCCACCACCTGGGACCGTCTCCTCACACCGTGTACACAACATTGTTTACCGCCCCTGAATAATATACGACTGCTACCGTGGGAAATGGGTAACACAGAAGCGTTCCTTTGTTCTAAGGCACTGACTCACCAACACTATTTGATTTTCGCGGAAATGTCAAGACAGGCAACGATATTTACCGAGCCAGGAGGAACCATGTATAAATGCATATATAACTTACCCATTCAAGAAAGTTACCGCAGTGAACGTAACGAAATAATTGGCCACTTTTCTGGCATGGGAATATTTTTTTTTCGTTTAGTTTGAAGGATAAATACGTGTGTATGCATTATACTTACGTTTTATGTAAATTCTACCTAGCTTGATTCTCGTGTGTGTGTATGCGTGCGCGCGTGTGTGTGTAAGCCAACTGTTTACACGTGATTCATATTCAGCTATACATCAGCCTGGACCAGCTGCTGTGTGTATCCACTTTCTAGTGTTTTATCTCAGGCCGTTTTGGTTCCGATTCTGAAATGATTTTACTAGCCGTGACTGTCACCAGCCTGACCTACTTGCTTGTGTACTGTACGTGACGTGAACTGAGTTGTGTCTGATGCCCGTGTCTTCTGTTTGCTGCATAAATAGACACACACTGGCGGACGTCCCTTGATTCTGTGTGCCTTCATGTCAGAGAAGGTGGAGAGAGATGGAAAAAGAGATGGAAATAGAGATAGAGAATTGACAGGCATGGCTAGTTGTGTTGTTTCACCTAATAACATCTCGGGGATATTGATATTTACATATTCTTGCTATTAGTCTTAGGAAAGTAAGGAATCTCTCCCAGGGGTCATAAAAATGCCTCCTGCAGGTGTGAGGATGTTTTATCGAGTCTTATGAGGCTGTCTCCTCTCCACCAACAAGTGAGTGGACGCCTGGGGAAATATTCGCAGTACATTGATAAGTATTTGCCTGGAAAAGAAGGATTGCGTTTTATATTCTGACACTTAGTTATGGCCTTCTTGGGATTAGTGTTATTTCAGTGATTTCTTAAGTGATTTTTCTGTTTTATTAGTATTATGAATGTTACAAAGTTTATTTGCTATTTGGCTGACGTAAAATTCAAAATTAAATGTTTTCCAAGTTCCTGTTATCATAATTTGTTCATTTTTTATTTATTTATTTATTTCTAAGAATAAGTTTTTTCTTTTTACTCTGTATTTATTGATCAACTTTAAATAATGGAAGGCAGTTTTATATCTCCTGCACTAAGACACGAGACATGAAGAAATTCCATACGTTCCTCACCAGCAGCAGATGGGTCGACCTTCTCTCGTCTTGCCACGGATCATCAACTCTAAAGTACTCTTAAGTAGGCGTTGGTGAAGTATAAACAGTTCAGATAACACTTTAATGCTCCTTACCCACAAAGTAGAGTGTCGCTTTAACATGCCATAATTCCGGGTGCCCAGTCAGACCTCCAGTGACATTTAGTGATAAAAGTGACATCCACATCCCCATTATGTTCATGCCCGCAGTTTACGGCCGCCAACTGGTGACGCTATAAACTAGCCACTTGGTGAAGCTCTGTCGACAGTAATTGACAGGTAAAGATCCCCCGAGACACACACACAGATACGCACACACACACACACACACACACACACACACACACACACACAAACAATAGACGGTGTTTGTGATGACTGTCAGACTTGAGGTGAATCATTTACCTTTATTATACAAGTTATATTAAGATGATGTAAATTATACCCATTTGCTGACCACTTTCTTGCGACGTTTATCATGATATTTGACAGGACTTGAGGGTCGTGTTGTGTGAATCTTCCTCTCTTCTGCTGTCTGTTCATAATATTTAACAGCTTGGAAGGTAGGCAGAAATCTTCCTCCTTATTGGCTTTCAACTCGACAGGAATTCTTATAAGTTTATTAAAGAGATTATGGTAGGGATTTTGGTCATGATCATCGGGAGCGTTTGGTCGTCACATAGAGCAAGGATGTGACTTGTGTTGAACGTTTGTCCACGACACACAACGCTGCTTGTCCAAACATCAGCTAAAGTTGTCTTGTTTTCACTTCTCTGAGTCCACCATTGATTTCACCCGATAACAGGATTTGCTTTAACTCACACTCAAAGACAACTAACTCATTTTCAACACAATCATCACACATAATAACAACAGGATGTGAAAGGTGTACTATTATGCCTATAGATACTTCGTTTATTAATACCAGCTATGTTGAGGACAGTACGTGTTATACAGGATGGTGTCAATATTAACCTTATTCACAGGTACACAGAATTAGTCGTTTTCGCCATTTGCATCGTTGACATTTAGGTGTCTGTCGTGTACAAGTGTTTCTCGTTGATCAACCAGTGTGTTGGAGTGGACCTTGTACCGCTGCCTCTGTTGGATGTTGTAGATACCTTTTATAACGTCGTGTTCTGAGTACTAGTGCCAGGTTGTGTTATCTAAGACCTGTGTTGAGTAGGACCTTTAGGTGGCTGACAACACTGGAACACAACACAACACACTCACCCTAAGTTAACTCGTTGCCTGACCCAGTGTCCGGACAACTCACCAACAGCACTGGCTACCCATTATCCCCCAACACAATCTGCAAATCCATTAACATCCAGGTCCCCAATTACTGCTGGGTAGACGGACACAGGAACCACCCCCTGCTTACTATGGTAGTTCCTAGACACTACCTTCAGTCTTCCCGGTTCTGTTATATTTATTCATTGGCTTTGTTATTCTGTCCAGTAAGCGGCTTCCTCACTGAACATCTTTCTTGACTGACTGACTGACTGACTGAGAGCTATTATCATCTATCTCCCACGTCTAACAGCTTATGACTCCACCTGTGTTATGAATGGTAACTGATTGTATAACTTTCATTGTGTGTGTGTGTGTGTGTGTGTGTGTGTGTGTGTGTGTGTGTGTGTGTGTGTGTGTGTGTGTGTGTGTGTGCTCCATAATTAGGTTAGCTCTCTGTCCATAATTACACCTCACCGCCGTATTAGTACCGAGAGCCATAATTAGCCTCCACCACTGTAATTATGATCCTCTTCACGGTTAGGTTATAATGCTCTGTAATTATACTCCAGTTGATTATCATGCTTTCTTTCACACTGATACCTTCACCCTATGTAATTATCCTCTAATTAGTATACATACTTTCCTCGAGTATAATACCATCATCCCTATACATAATTATACTCTCAAGTCATAGCTACTCTTCACCTCAGGAATAATGCTCGGATACGTAATGATGCTGGGGGCTTTATAGTGGAAGTCTTACACGTGACGGTTCTTTGTGCTCTTCTCCTCCCCCTCCTACACCTTCCCAGTCTCCGTTACCCCCCCCCCACCTCTCCCCTCCTCTTCCTCCTCCCCTCTACCTCTTCATCTCAGCCCTCTCTCCCCTCCCCACCCACCCCCTCCCCCGGATTCTTGTTTACCATCAGCAGACAAAGCAAAACAAGAGCCTTTTGCTCTATATTGGACGGTAATTGATGTTGACGTCGACTTTATCTGGGTGGTTTTAAGGATGTTGTTGATCTGCCATGTTTTGATCACACACACACACCACACAAACACACACACACCACACACACAATTTTGATTCCGGGTTAGTGCTGTGAGGGTGATAAAAAAAGAATCGTCTGTCGGATAGAGATAATTAGATATGTGTTCCTCTTCTCTCCTCTCCTCTTCTCTCCTCTCCTCTCCTCTTCTCTCCTCTCCTCTTCTCTCCTCTGCTCTTCTCTCTTCGTGACTACAATACCCCTTAGCCAACACTGACAGGGAGGCACTAGGGATGCCAACATGACAAACGGTGCCCAGACAGAGATGCCAAGAGGTGCCAAAAACGAAAATGCCAAAATAACACTGCCAAGGCAACTGTCAGGGCTTACGGACAAGGAGACAAACGCCTAATGATAAGAGGGTGAGATAAGAGTTAAATGACATTAAGGTAAACAGTAGCGATAAGACAGAATTGGTGATTAATCTGTCAAGGTGTTGTTTTTATGTCAGAGGATTTGTGACCACGGCTTTCACCAGTCCAAGTGCTTTCATCAGTCCAAGTGCTTTCATCAGTCCAAGTGCTTTCACCAGTCCAAGTGGTTTCATCAGTCCAAGTGGTTTCATCAGTCCAAGTGGTTTCATCAGTCCAAGTGCTTGCATCAGTCCAAGTGCTTTCACCAGTCCAAGTGCTTTCACCAGTCCAAGTGCTTTCATCAGTCCAAGTGCTTTCACCAGTCCAAGTGCTTTCACCAGTCCAAGTGCTTTCACCAGTCCAAGTGCTTTCACCAGTCCAAGTGCTTTCATCAGTCCAAGTGCTTTCATCAGTCCAAGTGCTTTCATCAGTCCAAGTGCTTTCACCAGTCCAAGTGCTTACATCAGTCTAAGTGCTTTCATCAGTCCAAGTGCTTTCATCAGTCCAAGTGCTTTCACCAGTCCAAGTGCTTTCACCAGTCCAAGTGCTTTCACCAGTCCAAGTGGTTTCATCAGTCCAAGTGGTTTCATCAGTCCAAGTGGTTTCATCAGTCCAAGTGCTTTCACCAGTCCAAGTGCTTTCACCAGTCCAAGTGCTTTCATCAGTCCAATTTCTTTCAACAGTCCTTCCAGATTTTGTGTAATTCCATGGTTCCAGGATTTTGTTTCACCCTGAGCCAAGATTGTTCTTAGGTCAATGATATCAAAGGTGAAAGGTGAATTTGTTTAAAATTTTTGTCGTATAAAACTAATTTGCTTGTTACTTAGACCTGAACTGTATCTTTGTTGTTGTTATTGGTATTATTATTATTACTTTCATTACTAGCATTTGTATTATCATTATTATTTCATTATCGTTATTATAGGTATTATTATTATTATTATTATTATTATTATTATTATTATTATTATTATTATTGGCTATATTAATATCATTAGTATTATCAATGTAGTTACTGTGTGTTTATATTTTACAGGTAAGACGTCACACCTGTCCCCCAACACCATTGATGAGCAACATGTATCGTAAGTGTGACCTTAGATTTATTTTGATCATCAGTTACATAAACCAAACGTAAAAATGATATGTGTGTGTGTGTGTGTGTGTGTGTGTGTGTGTGTGTGTGTGTGTGTGTGTGTGTGTGTGTGTGTCGTCATCCACCTGTCATTTTAATCCCAGGATATACACCGGTGAAACGTGGTGTATAAATTGCTGTAGGTACAACACGTTATGTTTACTTATTCACTCGGTAATAATGTAGGGCAGCTGTTGACCTTCTCTGTGTACCCTACCGAACACAGATTTTATGCAGGGAAGAACAGAGAAAATAAATAAACCAGGGATTATTTTCCTTTTGATTTCGTGTAATTTATTGGGTTGGTTTGGTTCGGTTCGGTTCGGTTTGGTTCGAGTAAGGTTAGGTTCGGTTGAGAGCATTGATAATAACCAGTTTTGCCATTGGTTAGTTGTTACATTAGGAGAGAGTCTGCCATTTAGTCTAGTCATCTGATCTTAGCTTTATTAATTATTCAGTCTGCCAGGTAAGCAGTCCGGTGACAAATGACAGACGTCATGCGAACAGTCAATTATAACGTCAGTCCTCTCCCTCACCTCCCGATCGATTCATCAGCTGACTAGACTCCCTACCCCTATTCCCTCAACTCCTCGAATCCCACCATCCCCTCTCCCCCATCCTCATCCCCAAACACCTCCCCATTTCCCTCTCCCCTCTCCCCCATCCCTCATCCCCAAACACCTCCCCCATTTCCCTCCCCACCTCTCCCCTATCCCTCATCCCAATCCCTCATCCCCAGACCCCTCACCCAACCTCCCTCCCCCTCCTCTTTCCCTCCATCCCCACTCCCCCATACACACTCGGCCACATAGGTGATTCGTCATTCCACCAGGCCGCAGTTAGTGTACAAGTGGACCATTTCCCCGAGGTAATGACTGTACTATTAGATCACCACTTCCAACACTTTAACAGTCAGTTCCAACTTATGACAGTCATTTTTGCTGATGAACCGAACCACGAAACTACACACACACACACAAAAAAGAAGTTAAATTTATGAACAGACTAACAGAATACTGACAGCTGGTTTGCCGACATAATATCGTAAACTTGACGACTAAAAAAAAACGAAAACAAAAGAAAAGAAAGTTGTTGGTTATAGATTATTATTTAAGATGTTAAAAAGACAGTTTAATATACTTAGTAGATTGATTTGAGGTGTTGTATTTCATTGTTGGGGGCTCGGGATTCTGTCTGTCTGTCTGTCTGTGGTATTTCCATTATTAGCTTTTTTTTCAACCCCTTACACTCGTCTTGCACAATTCTCGTCATCCACTTTCCATTTGTCTCGAAGTTCCCGTATCCTTTGATCCACCCAACACAGCGGTGACAGTAAAGAGAATACACACGTAGGTAGAATATATCACAAACCTTGATTTTTAACCATAAATTGTACTTTATTGTTAATGGTTGTATTATCCTGTTGACGATGTGTTCTAGGCGGTGATGGTGGTACAGTTAGGATACAGGAAGGCGGTACATTGATACGCACACACACACACACACACACATACACCTGTACACTATAGCATGATTCGCAAGACTCCGCCAGTCACGCCACCATTGCTGCCTTGTGTAACACTATACTGCTGAGTATATGCCACAACCACCACCACCACCACCACCTTGTTATTGTTGACACCTGAACCTGTTAGTTACAATTAGAGACGAATTTTAGAACCTTAGGTAAATTTAATTGCCTCGTAGGTGTTAGGGTGTGTTTTGATGTAATTTTTTTGTGTTCAAGTTCAAGTTCAAGTTGATGTTGTAGTGGAAGAGGAGTTCAATGAGTGAAGACAGGTGGAAGTTAGACCAAGGAGGTTCTTACCTTTTGTACGTCTCGGTGAGGTTTGTGTTTTCGAGTTATGGTTCATACCTGTTGGTCTTCATCGACTCTCCGCGCTGGTGTGGTGAGGTAGTGTGAAAGGGAAGAAGGGAAGGGAGCTGTTACGAGTAAGAGGTGTAGTGAAATATTGTAAAGGTATACTGATAATTTGTGGAAGTAAGCCTGAAATCGTTTGCTAAGAGTTTATATAAGGGATACGGATAGAGAGAGAGAGGCAAGAAGCGAGCGAGTTTCCGTGTATACCTGCGTGTTTTATGTACTTATTTTCGTGTGTGTTTGTATTGATTACAGGTGTGTTAAGGTGAGGGAATCTATACAGGTAAGAAACATTATCCAGAGGTATACTGGTGACTGTGATATTGGGGGTCTAGCAGCGTTGGTTGTTTAAAGAGAGAGGAAGGCTGATGCATACGATTATGTAAATCACCTTTATCGGACAAGAAAATTGAGGTGCTCCTCCCCGATACTGCAATGTTGTAGTGGCATGAATAGTAATCAAGTGATATGGTGGTGATGGTGGTGGTGATAATGGTGGTGGTGGTGGTGGTGGTGTGGTGATGATGATGATAAAGGAAGTAAATATGAATAATTCTGAGTCACTGGAACACTGGAGCTTAGTTATTAATTTTTCTTTGTGAGTGAGTGTCAATTTTTCTCCGTCACTTTAAGTCATAAAGTCAGGTGGAAGCATCTAAGAATAACACTTACAATCAACAAGGAAACAACAACAACAAATAAAAAAACAAATGAAGGAAAATGAAAGAGAAACAATAAAAAATAAATACGATAAGAAAGTAATTTAGAAATACAAAGAAATTAATTAGATAAGATTTGACTACTGACAATGTCTCCCAAAAATTGACGTTCATTAATTTCCTTCGTAAAGTGAAATGAAACGAAGCAGAGGAAAGAAAATTCGATAATAATAATAATAATAATAATAATAATAATAATAATAATAATAATAATAAAAACAACGTTATGGTGGTACGGATGGTTATGCAATATAGGAAAATCAATGCTATTTTTTCTTATGCAGGTGAAAGCATTGTAAAACTTTAACGTTAATTGAATTATTTTGCAAACTGATCGATGTGTTAGCAATTGGCTCTCCTTACGGGAATATTAAACACACATCTTTACTCTCGTGTGTTAATACCTCTATCATCCTCATTAATAATTTGTCGTGTTTCCCAAATTATTTCGACTTTTTTTTCCAGACGATTTTCAAAAAAATAAAAAAAAATAAAAAAAGGTAAAAAAAAAATAAAAAAAGGTAAAAAAAAATAAAAAAGGTAAAAAAAAATATAAAGTAGAATAAATAAAAAAAATAAAATAGAATAAACTAAAATAAATAAAATGTAATAAAATAAAAAAAACACTGAGTCTCCCCCAGCCAGTTAGTTAGCTCGGGTTGGTGATGAGGGGAAAAGCGAGTACTAGAACATAATATACTAGTGGAATGAGAGGAGCTAATTGTAAGGGGTAAAAAAATGTCCTGTTGAATATATGTGATTATATTGGTTAGGGCAGGTCAGTAGTTGTGAGGGAGGGGGGAAGGGGAGGAAGGAGAGAAAGATAGAGGGAGGTAGAGAAGAAGAGAGAGAGATAGAGGGAGAAAGGGAGAGAGAGACAACTGAAGAGGGAGGGTGTGTGTGTGTGTGTGTGTGTGTGTGTGTGTGTGTGTGTGTGTGTTTTATTTCACATTCTTCTTTAAGTTTGAGATCCAGTTGTAGGTTTCTATAAGTCACATTAACTAAATATACAACTAGTATTTATATATTTTTTTTACTGAATATTAATGCTATTAAATCAAACTAATTTTCATATAACATAATAGAGCCTAAAAGTATATAATATATAACAAGAGTCTTATTTTTCACCATTGGACTAACTTGTATGAATGTTAAATATCTTCTATAAATGTTAAATAACTTCCAAGTGTAATAATAAAATAAAAAAACACATATAAAGGTTTTTGATTGACGGTGATCAGTGAGAATGATTAAATAAATTTAATTATTTCGTCAACCAAAAAAGTTCGACTGAATTCTGGAGTTTTTCGAACATGACGAGTCAGCAGGAGTAATGTTGTTAAGAGTGGAATAGTGATCAGTGTTTTATGTTGTCTGGTGGCCCTCACTTCATGGCCCTCACATACTGTATGGCCCTCACATACTGTATGGCCCTCACATACTGTATGGCCCTCACATACTGTATGGTACTCACATACTGTATGGCCCTCACATACTGTATGGCCCTCACATACTTCATGGTCCTCACCTACTTCATGGCCCTCACCTACTGTATGGTACTGACACACTGTATGGCCCTCACATCTTCACCCAATTTCATGGCTCATCATCACCTACTGTGACACATGGCCTGCCTGACCCCTCACATACTGCATGGCCCTCACCTGCTGACCCCTGGCATGGCCTCACATGCATGGCCCTCATACTGCCTGACCCCTCACATAGTGCATGGCCCTCACGTACTGGCCCCTCACACGTACTGCATGGCCCCTCACATACTGCATGGCCCTCACATAAACACCAACTGCCACTATTGGTAAGGGGGAATTTGGTTATGACAGCTCGTGTTGTGAGTTATGGTGCAGTGGGTGTGTCACTCACTTATGGTTTATGGTGCGCTAGATCTGGCACTCGTGGGTTATGGTGCACTTGAGCTGGCACTCGTGGGTTATGGTGCACTAGGTCTGGCACTCGTGGGTTATGGTGCACTCGTGGGTTA